GACAGAAGAAGAGGAGGAGGAAGGAGGAGGAGGAGGAAGAGGAGTAGAAGAAGGAGAAGGAGGGAAAAAGGAAGAGAAGAAAGGAGGAGGGAGGAGGAAAAAGAGGAGAATGAGACAGAGGAGGGAGAAAGAGAAGGACGAGAAAGAGAAGGAGAAATGAGAAGCAGAAAGAGGAGGAGAAAGAGGAGGAGAAAGAGGAGGAGAAAGAGGAGAAAAAGCAGGAGGAGAAAGAGGAGGAGGAGGAAAAAGAGAACAAGAGAAGGGGAGAAGGAGGATAAATGGGAGAAGGAGAAGCAGAAAGATGAAGAGAACAAGGAGAGAGGGGAGAAAAAGCAGGAGGAGGAAGAGGAGGAGGAGTCCTACGGAGACTGCCTTCTCCTCATTTCTTAGAAGAACAAATACAGCTCCTCTCTTTTCTTTGAGTTTTAATAAGAAAAACTTCTAACAGCCATCAGTCTCAGCTGTCAGAAACAGCAGTAAAAATTGAAGGAAGATGTTGGCTCCCAAGAAGCAGCTGCGGTCTATTCTTTCCCGTTCTGCAGGAATTTTGAACAAGTCGACTTTTTGTGGTCCTGTTGGCCTTCAGAATCTATTAAATGTACTCATCACTGCCAGCTTTCTGGCAATCTTAACAGAAAATGAGACATTTTAGAAATAACAGAATAACAGAATGGAAGGGATCTTGGAAATCTTCTAGTCCAACTTTCTCTCAAGCAGGAGATTCTTTCCCATTGCAGACAAATGGTTGTCCAATCTCTTTTTTCCAAACCTCCTTTGTTTGCAGCACCCATAACTTCTGGAGACAAGCAGCTCTCCCTTCTCACACAGAAACTCCCCAGTCCCACTAGAAACAAGTCGTTTTTGTTGTTAGATGAGAAGAATGCAGAATATATTCTGCTTTGTTGCTCAAGTTCAAACCTTCACGGAAAAACTGCGTTGGGTAGATTGCATGAAATTTGAAGCCTCTTCCAAAAACGCTTTCGATTCTTGAAAAATGCATTAATGTGTTGGCGTGAAACCATGCATATCTATTTCATTGTTTACAGAATCCCTAACATTTTCTCTCACCATGTTGGTGGAAAGTTGATTATCCTGGTATCATGCAGGATGACTGAAAAATCTCACAAGGTCTTGAATCACATTGTGAGAATATTAACACCATATTTTTTATAAGCTTTTCCTGGTTTGTTTTTTTAACTTTTCAAAAGTTGCCACTTCAACTTACAAAAAAACACATTTTGGAGAGAGAGAGAGAGAGAGAGAGAAAGAGAGAGAGAGAGAGAGAGAGATTGTGTCTCTGGGGACTGTGCTGAAGGAATATTCTGTTTATAATTAATTCAAGACACGTCTGTCTTTGGGGTTTCTTCAAACCTTGTCGCTGTGTCAACAATAATCTATACGTGAAAACCACCAGAAGCTCCTCTGCTCAGTGATTCTATTTGTGTGGAACAAAAAAGGTGATTTTCCAGAGATGTTTCTGAAAACTGCCTCCCACAATCTCCGTAGAGATTTCTGTGCCATACAGCATTTCAAGGACTATGGAGTTCTGTATGGAGTTGAACAGCTTAAAGGTAAAGGTTCCCCTCGCACCTACGTGCTAGTCGTTTCTGGCTCTAGGGGGCGCTGCTCATCTCCATTACAAAGCCAAAGAAGAGCCAGCGCTGTCCGAAGACGTCTCCGCGGTCATGTGGCTGGCATGACCAAACGCCAAAGGCGCACAGAACGCTGTTCTCTTCCCACCAAAGTGGTCCCTATTTTTCTTCTTGCATTTTTACATACTTTTGAACTGCTAGGTTGGCAGAAGCTGGGACAAGTAAGGGGAGCTCACTCCATTATGCATGCTAGGGATTCGAACCGCCGAACTGCCGACCTTTCTTTTTTTTTTTCCAAAGAAGTTTTTTATTTGTAGACAAACATACACAGACAAAACATAAATACATAAAGCCATCTTCCAGTTACATGCATATAGTGTGTCAGTTGGTTACAAATTTTTTGTGCATCTTCTCCATAGCCCTCACTTACAATTCTTTGTATATATTCTCATATTATCAAACAGATATTTCTAAATACATTTATTGTCATTGTTAATCAATCATTTGACTATACCATTATTCATTCATGTTATGCGAGATATTCCATATTTTTAAATTGATTTATCTTATAACAATTCATATTATCATCCTAAATCCATCCCATAATTATAATATAACAATACATCCTTATATATTCTATATAATTCTATTCTCCTTGTCTTGTAAAATTCTGCATATTCGAACTGCCAACCTTTCTGATTGACAAGCTCAGCGTCTTAGCCACTGAGCCACCGCGTCCCCTCTTAAATAGCTTACTGCACCAGGCTTGGATTTTAAGATTACAAGTTCTTTTGCTGGTTGAATTGCTGGCTTTCCACATCCAACCTTTTGGAACTGCAGAGATTTTGCTTGGGAAACTAAAAGAGGCAATCACATTTGTTCCAATTTACACTTCAGCCGTGAAACACCGGACAACATTTCTAATTTGATTTTTGTCAGATTGAAGCACTGCACTGTGGTTCTCCAGGAGAGTCAAGCCCCCAGTGCTGTTCGTTGTTGACTATTTCATTCTCTTATGTAATAAAAGAAAAAAATCTTACATACCTGTTCCATAATAAAAATATTATTTAAAAAACAAGCAAACATGAAAACAAACATAAGTCATCTACTCATGACCATAACGGAGCCCAACATTTTTGTTGTTAAGCGAGATATTGGTTAAGTGAGCTTTTCCCCATTTTGCGACCTTTCTTGTCACTGTCGTTAAGCAAATCACTGCAATTGCTAAGTTAGTAACCTGGTTGTTAAATGAATCCGACTTCCCTCATTGTCTTTGCTTGTCAAGAGGTCGCAAAAAAGCATCGCGCAACCCTGAAACACAGGAACGGTCATAAGTATGAACCAGTTGCCAAGTGTCTAAATTTTGGTCACAGGATCATGGAGACGGGTCGTAACTGTGAAAAATGGTCATAAATCAAGTTTTGTTCAGTGCTGTGTTTCTTTGAACGGTCACTAAATGAACTGTTGTAAGTTGGGGACTACCTGTACTGTATTTGGAACGGGATGCCTGTATTTTTGTCTTGGACTTCTGCATTTGGGGATATTTGAAAGCCAACCTCAATTGCAGTAACTGTTTGAATCCAGGAATGAAAACAAGATTTTGCATTCAGTGGAATTACTTTATTTAAAAAAAATAAAATAAAATTGGCTGGAACCCTCAAGATTTTCCCAGGCACCAAAGAGTGTCTAAGGCAACCTGCCTACGCGAAGTGTTTAACCAGCCACCTCAATGTTTGATCAGTCTCAGAACAAATGCTGAGTCCAGTCCTGCAAAAATGCACTCCTGGTTTTCCTGCTAGGCTGCCTTTCACCAGCTTAATGTAAGGAGAGAACATCTCCATAGCTGTCATTTTTGTTCAGCAGCTGAGACTTGGAATTCCTGCCCTTTCCATGAATTTTCTTTGCAAAAGCCGTCCTTCCTGCAGATACCTTTTTTTTTTTTGGCATGGTTTTTACCCCCTGATCTTAACTGCCCCCTTGGTCATGCTGTTTGAGGACATCCGTGGCTTCTTGTCCTGCCTTCATAGGTTTTGGAGAATAGGATGACCCACCCCTATTCTTCATGGCAGCTCCTTAGATTTTGGAAGACTGCTATCACGTCACCCCGAGTCCTTCTTTTCATTAAACTAGACATACTCAGTTCCTGCAACTGTTCTTCATATGTTTTCGCCTTCCAATCCCCTAATCATCTTTGTTGCTCTTCTCTGCACTCTTCCCAGAGTCTCAACATCTTTTTTATATTATGGTGACCAAACCTGGATGCAGTGTTTGAAGTGTGGTCTTAAGGAAAAGTAAAGGTTTCCATCGCACATACGTACTAGTTGTTTCCGGCTCTACAAAGCCGAAGAGCCAGTGCTGTCCGAAGACGTCTCCGTGGTCATGTGTCTGGCATGACTAAACACTGAAGACGCATGGAATGCTGTTACCTTCCCACTAAAGTGGTCCCTATTTTTCTACTTGCATTTTTTTTTTACATTTTTTGAACTGCTAGGTTGGGACAAGTAACGGAAGCTAACTCCGTTACGCAGCGCTGGGGATTCGAACCGCCGAACTGCCGACATTTCTGATCGACAAGCTTAGGGTCTTAGCCACTAAGCCACTGCGTCCTTACAGTGTGGTCTTACCAAGGCCTTATAAAGTGGTATTACCACTTGACATAATCTTGATTCTATCCCTCTGTTAATGCAGCCTGGGACTGTGTTGGCTTTTTTGGTCAACTTCCTGTCGTTCATTGCTTCACCTCTCATGGCTTTATCTCAGACAGGTGCTTTTGTGCTTCCCCTGCCCACCCCATGTTTCCAAACCTTTTCATCAAGGACCGGCAAGAAATACATGTATTTCCTTCATCTCTTCACATCAGTTTTTAGGATGGCAGCCAATGACTTTGGGATGAAGATGTTTGTCTGTTCTGTTCATCTTCCATCCATCTTGTCTGCCGCAGATGTTGATACGGTGATGTACCAGTTCTTCCAGCTGCAGTTAATGAAGCATTATGCTCCATGGGGAAATTACTCTCCTGAAAAATAGAACATAGAACATCAGAGATGGAAGGGACCTTGGTTGGTTTTCTAGTCCAACCTCTTGCTCAAGCAGATGATCCTATACCATTTCAGACAAATGGTTGTCCAGTCTCTTCTTCAAAACCTCTGCGATGACCCGGGGCATGGCACAAAAGCAACAAAGTCACAAAAATAGGTAAAGTCCCTTTAATACCTCCAACTTGGCCCCCAATGTCCAGTTATCATCAGCTGGAGAGAAAAAAAAACTTCTCAAAAAAACAGTTTTCAAAAGGAAGAAATTCCATCCGAACTCAAAGTACATATAAATTAAAAATAAACACCAACACAAACTTCAGCAATTAACGAGACAGGGCAGGATAAGGGATTGAAGACATCACAAGATAACGAACCACACACACACTTGGGAGGATGCCAGAACTCAAGATAAGACTTGACAAACCAGAATAATTTCACGCTTTGCTTCCAGCAACTTTGCTCTGTGCAATCTGCCCTTTTAAACAATCTTCCCAGCTGCAGCCAATGAAGGGGATCAGGGCCCTTTCCTCCCCCATAAACTCATGTTGCTCCCTTATCCGTTCCTCCCTGCGTGCCCTAGGATGAAGAGGGGGTGGGCCTGGGTCTTCCTCTGAATGCCTAGCTGGATTGTGACCTTCCCCAGTTTCCTCCACATCCACTGGAGTCACACTCCCACTCCCTGTCAGCTGTTCCACCTCTCCCTCGGAATCAAACTCCAACAGGGGCATGACGACCTCCAATGTTGAGCACTCACAACTTTTTTAAAAATATTTTTATTTTATTAGAGTACATACAATTCATCTTCCATTTAACAGTATGGAGTCTGGGTACAAATATCTTGTGCAGTAACAATTAAAGTTTACATCCATGTTCATTATTTTAGTATTCATTTTCTATTCTTTTCTTATTCTTATCTTTTTAATATACATAATACCTCTATTACTATAACACTCCTCTTAACATGTTTAATTCTATTAACATATTTTATATATTTCACTAGTCTATTAGCTATTTCTAGCTTTCATATTTTTTCTCTAGCCATCAATAAAATTGTTCCCATATCTTATAATATTCAGTTGGTTCCTTATCTTTAATTGCAAGTGTTGATTTATTCATTTCTGCACATTCTAATATTTTTCTAATCACATTTTCATCACTAAGGATCTCTTCACCTTTCCAATTTTGAGCAAATACAATTCTAGCTGCAGTTAATACATGAATAATCAAATATGGATTACTATAAATCAAATACTATAAATTTCAGGTAAAAAGCACTCACAACTTCTGAAGGCACGGAATTCCATTGGTTAATTTTTCTCACAGTCAGGAAATTTCTCCTTAATTCTAGGTTGCTTCTCTCCTTGGTTAGTTTCCATCCGTTGCTTCTTTTCCTGCCTTCTGATGCTTCTGAAAATAAGTTGACCCCCTCTTCTTTGTGGCAGCCCCTCAAATATTGGAATACTGCTATCATGTCACCCGTGGTCCTTGTTTTCACTAGTCTAGACATACCCAATTCCTGCAATTGTTCTATAAATACAAATATAATACCGTATATAAATAGAGCGTCTGCATCACAATACAAAGACTGCAAATTATCAGCTGGTTATAATAATTTTCTAGGAAGAACAATATCGTGTACAGAATCCTATGAGGCTCATTTCATAAGAGAGATTAGAGTAACATGTGCCTTAAGGTGATGTGATGTGGCAAGTTGTGGTTTTGTACCAACTGTTGCACAAGAGGCCCTAGAACATTTTGTGATCCAGATCATAAAAGCACTGTGGTGAAAACCATAGCTTTCTTTCTTTCTTTCTTTCTTTCTTTCTTTCTTTCTTTCTTTCTCTCTCTCTCTCTCTCTCCCTCCTTCCTTCCTTCCTTCCTTCCTTCCTTCCTTCCTTCCTTCCTTCCTTTTAACAGAGTGCTTATGGAGACCAGCCCAATGTTTGCAATCACGTTTAAAAGCTTACAAGTGGCAAAAAAAATCTTCATTTTAGGAAAGCTTGAGATGGCAAGGATGGAAGTGATGGAAAATGGTGGTGGCAGATGTAATTAGGTCAGCTGTATTCATCCCTTCAGTTGCTGAAAAAAATATATGGAAAGAGGTTTATTTTTAGGAGAAAGGAAGGACAAAATACCCGGATTTCAATCTCTAGTAGAACTGCAACTGTGCAAGCGATATCATACCTGGAATGGCTTGGGCTCAGTTATAGCAAAATTGTACTTTTTCTACCCCTAAAGAAAATATTGACTGTAGAATAATATCCTAAACCATTACAGTGATATTCCACAGATAGAAGTGCGAAGTGAGCCTTTAGTAATGGTGAAGAAAGCGTTCTCTTCAGCCGCAAGCAGTTGTGTAGATAGTTTGATTGGGAGGAAGAGACTTTGTTGGCTCCATCCTTGAAGTTCTCAGTGTATCTCTTGCATGATGCCAGAAGTTTGCTTTGGGTTGGTAAGGTATCTATCCAGAGTGAGGAACAATAAAGGTTAGAAGAACCTCAGGATGTCTTTCTTGGTGTTTGGAGCCTTGTACGTCTACGTTAATGAAAAGAAGGACCAGAGGTGGTCCAATATCTCAGGGGCTGCCACAAGGAAGGGCTGTAAAGCACTGTAAAGCAGGATATAAGTCTTAAGTGCTATTGCTATTGCTATAGCTCTTGGGGATGACTTAAATGGTGGGGATCTCTTACAAGCCACGGCGTTGTGCCATCAAGGAGACTTCGCAGGGGACATCACTCAGATGTCATGGTTTGGAGCAAGAGAAGAGCCCGTTGTGCCATCAAGGAGACTTCGCAGGGGACATCACTCAGATGTCATGGTTTGGAGCAAGAGAAGAGCCCGTTGTGCCATCAAGGAGACTTCGCAGGGGACATCATTCAGATGTCATGGTTTGGAGCAAGAGAAGAGCCCGTTGTGCCATCAA